TGCGACCGGTGACCATGTCGTTCGTCGATGAGGTTTTGGCCTCGAGCATGGAGACCGTCGAGAGTTTGGTGCCCCGTCGCTCCACTGGGGACAGTGATCCTGAGGATTGGGAAAAGTTGAGTGATGATGTGGCTGTTGCTCGTGCCACTCTGGTGCACAACATGTCGGCCCACGAGGATGAAGAGGCTAATGCTACCTTGGCCTCCTTCACTGCCCTTGATGTTGACGATACCTCCTTGGACGAGCGGCTTCAGGAGATGAATGCAGCGATGGCTCGCCTTCTGAGCAAGGGGGACGAGAAGGTGGTGATCAAGGAGGAGGCTGCCCCGACAGGTGACTTTGTCCCTGAGGGGGCCCCCTGAGGACACCAAAGCAGTGGCTATGGACACGGACCCGGCGGAGACCCAGGCTGCCCCAGGTGACTTTGTCCCTGAGGAGGTTGTCGGTGATCATGCCATGGGTGGTGGCTATCCTTCCTCTTCTCGTCCTTTTTCTGCTCTCCCCTCTGGCACCTTGGAGGAAACGGTATTCCACATCGAGGGTTCCCTGAGAACTTCCCGGGCATCGGCAAGAAGAGTGCTGACTTGGCCAAGCAGCTGACCAAGGAGGAGATCGCGGCCTTGTTTTCCAAACTGAAGACTGAGGTTTGGACAAGATCGGCTGTAGAACGGGTGCTTGAGGTGTACCAGATCTACAAGCGACAGATTGCCCAGGAAAAGATGCTGGCAGCACCCTTCAGCAAATCCCGGGCTGGGGTGGGCCACGGCAGTCTTGGACAGCTTGACCCGGGCAGCGCCACCACCGTGCTCATGTGCCCAAGCTGCTTCTCCGACTGGCAGCGACCCGACAACAAAGTGCAGGGCAAGTGCAAACTCTGCCAAAAGAATGTCATTGCGGTGGACAAGGGGCCCCCGTCGGCAGAGATCAAGCTGGGTACGGCATCGTGGTACATGTTCTGTGGCCCTCAGGGAGTCACGTGGCACACCGATGCCGACGAGACCCAGAAGGAGAATGCCTCGGTCGACATTGGTTCCTGGGCCCAGCCACCACCCAGGTCGACTGACAACAAGGAGCTCAGCTTTGCCGACCAGGTGCCTATGGCCCTGAGGCTCAGCTTGGCCCACACTGTGGCTAGCCAGCCCTTCGACGAGATGCAGTTCGCGAAGAAGACGGCTGGGGACAGACCACACATCCGCGAGGATTGGACACCCAGTCAGTCGACTAGAGTTTTCCACCCTCAGCTGGCCGCGGCGATGGAGATCAAGAAGAAGAGCGCGGGCCCGGTGGACCAACATTCCAGCAAGCTCACCGAGAAGGAGTTTTCGGCGCAGCTCAACCCCCAGCTCGATGTGATCACGCAAATGCAGGCGGGGGCACATGAAGTGGCTGACGCGTCCGGGGCTTCGGTGCTTCGCCCCACTTGGACACGGAGAAGTTGCGCTCCCTGCTCAAGCGCAACTACTTGCAAGGACCGGGCCACCAAGGCGAAGAATTCTTTGCGGCGCAGACCTCCCTGGATCAGGCCAAGGCCTCCAACAAGCGGATGCAGGAGGAGGGGGAGACACGCTCCAGACTCCTTAAGCCGATGGCGGAGCCCATTGACACCTGGGGCGCCAAACTTCGCGCTGCTCTGGAGATGAACGTCTTCAACCCTGAAACCCCGCTCAAGGATATGGAGTTTGAGGAGATTGAGGACCTCCGGGACAGATACCTTAACACGAAGTTCCTGCTGAACCAGAGCAGGAACCCTTTCCCAGCTTCCCTCCTTCAGGAGCTGCCCTGTCTGGCGGCCCAGCAGCGAGAGGTGGAGCGTGTCACCCGATAACAAGGAGGGGGGATGTCTTCCACAGGTGCCTTTGGCCCTGAGGAGCAGACCCCCGAAGCACTCCTGGGCGTGCCGGTCGGGTCGGCGGAGTTCCAGATCATGCGCCTCAAGCGGATCATCGAGCTGCACATGGGGGAGCAGTGGATGATCGGGGGCAAGTGGAAGAAGGTGCAGGGCCCTTTTGAGGCTCCGGCCTGGGCTAAGCCTCTCCCTGAGGCCGAGAAGATGCTGCTGGAGATGAGGACCCACCCCTGCACCTTCCATGGGCCCTTCTTTGAGCCGCAGCGGAGGAGATCGAGGTGCAGGTCGGGACGGGCACCAGGCCCTCCCTTCGGAACATCGTTGGCCCCTTCCATGCCAAGGATGATGAGGGCACCTTCCACTGGAGGAAGGAGGTGCAGACCTGGGATCTGGTGAGCCTTTTCAGCACTTTTGGCCCCAGCTACACGGCAAGGCACCTCTATGCGGTGTGGAGCCACCTCCCGATCACGATTTCCTCCCACAAGCGGGGGACGAAGAACAAGCAGATGAACAATCAGCGCCGGGATGATTTTAGGGCGATCCAGAAAGAGGCCAAGGATTTCGTGCTTTTGCACGACCTCCCGTTGCCCACCTCGGACCTGGAGTGGAAGCAGCTGTACCGCGAGATGGGCTCGTTCTTTGCTGCCAAGGTCTTCGTCAACAGGACCTGCCAGGTCGGGCGGTGTGTGACGAGCGGATCACCCTCCCCCTGAAGGCCTTTCGGGACTTCCCTGAGATTTACAACGTGCTCTCCACCTCCCTGGGCCAGGAGGCTGTGGTGGAGGTTAAGATGGTTTGGCGCTGCAACACAGAGCAGTGGTGGACTGCTCGCCTCAAGCCGGAGTACGCAGGGCCCATTTGCCGGAAGCTCGGCTACTCCGAGGGCTACATCCAGGGCCTCGGCCTGGGGGAAGGGGACAGCTCAGCTGTTTTTGGCGCTGAAAGGATCGCCCTGAACCTCTCTGGGCCGGAGCAGGAACTGACCCTGCCGCCCATCACCCCGGACAACGTCTCCAGCGTCGTCTTGGACGACTACAAGCGCAAGTTCGCAGGGGACAAAACGGCCCATGTTTTCTGGGCCCGCATGGAATGCGGTTTGGTGTTGAGTTCGGTCTCCTTCTGAGAAGTCGTTGACAAGAAGAAGGGCGAGGCGAGACCCGTGGCGGATACGTTTGCCGCTGCTGCCGTGGCTTCTGGCGCGGAGGCAAGGGCTCCAGCCGGTTCCTCATGATTACCGGGGAGCACAAGGGCAGATCCGCGCAGCTCCAGCTCATCCTCGATGAGCCCCCCAATCACCTCTACGAGGCTTGGGTCAAGGACCGGATCGAGTTCTACAAGAGGGTGGAGCCCATGGCTGCCCTGCGGGACCGCTCCCTTCGGGTCAACCCCAACCTCAGCTCCCGGCAAGAAGAACCTCATCTGGCGAAGGGGAACCCTTCCCAGGTGCCTTTGGCCCTGAGGGGGGTTCTCCCCTCAGTCGGCCTGCTTTTTGAGTGCAAAGTTAGGCCCCTCAGGGATGGTGGCGGGAAGACTTCCCCGGGTCGTCTTCCACCACATTTGAGAACAGGAGCTCGCGCCTCCTGCCTTGGGGATTTCATTAAGCGTAAGGCCTTGCCCTTAGTCCCGGAATTCCTGGCATCGACAGCAGCGGGCGCGAAGCAGCCCCCTTTCCCAGATTCGGTGCTGAAAGAGATCCGTGATTTCATTCTCCCACAACACTCCCAGCCTGATGCTGGGCAGCCGTTTTTCCTTGATGTGATTCACAAACTGCTCAAGGATATTCAGGATGTCGACTCTGGGTACCCGATTACCCTCAAGGAGGGCGTACCCCGGAGTAGACACTCCCACCCTTCAGTCACCGGGTGTCTGGCCCCTCAAGTCTGAACTCATCGGGGAAGAGTGGGACCCTATTGAGGCACCTCCCCCTTCGGGGCACAAGAATTACCCTTCAGCTGACATGTTTCAAGCTGAGATCAGGTCGACTTTTGTGGAAGAGACTCCACTAGGTATGGTCATCGGACCTTGCACTCGTGCTGAGGCTGCGGCTCATTGCCAGTGCACTGAAGAGGAGCTTTGCCCATGCCCGATGGC